AGAAAATATCACTGAAGGGGAAACAACGGGAAGTGATTTTCTTGGTTACATTACGAGCCGTCGCGATATTTACACATGTTTGTGGATAATGGGCGAACCTCTGCTGCCGGCCTGCCCTCCCAGGTGACACAGTTGGGCTGGAAACGCCACGTCTCCCACTTGACCTGGGATGCAAACGTCATTCTGTGACTGCAGGCAGCCGGCCTAGCGGAAAAAACACAGGCCCTGGGCGCAGCAGCCCTGCTCTGCCCCGTGGGAGACCCTGCCCTGCCAGGGGTCCCCAGGGTCTGCACCAGGCTTAGTTAGGGACACCTGGGCAGCTTTGGCCACATATTGTCAGACACGGTAGAATGGCAATGCAAAGGGGTGCCCAGCTCCTCACATCCTTGCCAGAACTGGGTATTTTCCAAAAAGATCTTTGTAAAGTTGAGTGCTGATGTTTTAAATCTTGAAAAGAGGTAATTAAGTTAAAATGAGATCATTAGGTTGGGCCCTGATCCAATATGACGGTAAGGGGGGACAAGATGGGTACAGAGGGAAGTTTGCGTGGAGACACCGGGAGAAGATGGCCATTTGTAGCCAAGCAGAGAGGCCTCAGCAGGAACAATTCTGCCGACGCCTTGATCTTGGACATCTGGTTTTTGGAATTGTGAGAAAATCAATTTCTGTTGTTTAAGCCACCTGTTCTGTGGGCGTTGTTAGGGCAGCCCTGGCAAAGGCAGGTGGGCTCTCAGGTGAAGGCCCCCCAAGCCAGTCTGAAGTGGGGCTTGCAAAGGCTCCCATCACAGCCTGCCAAGATGAGGCATTAACTTTTTAAAACTATTTTAAAATTGTGTATAATGCATGTTCATTGAAGAAGAATCAGGACATACAGATCAGCCAAGGACATGAGATCTTCTGGGCCACAAATGTCCCCAACCGTCCACATGCACAGTGGCTGTGTGTTCTGCAGTGCGGCTGTGATGGCCACCTCCTCCTCCCTGGGGTGTGCAGACCGCCCGCCTCTCCCAGACGCAGCTGTTATGGCATGTGTTGGGGCAGCCAGAACAGTCTCCTCGTCCCATCCCCACACAGCTGTCCAGGAGGTCCAGGAGCCGCTTGCTCTGTGGGGCGAGACATCCATACATTCCCACCCCCTCTGCAGCCTCCAGGAAGGATCTGCAGCTTCTGCTTGCACTTGCTGCTGCCCTCTCCTCCTGGAGCAACCAACCTGTGCCCTAGGCAGTGACTTGAGCCCAGGCTAGCCCTCATCTTTGACCCAGAGCCCAGGTTAGCCCTTACTTTTGATCCAGGGGCACCCACAGAGCCTCAGAAGGCGGGCTTAAGGAAAAGGCTGGTGTCTGATTACCTCAGTGGTAAACAGTCTACTGTCTCCTGCTGACACAACCCTTTCCTCACCTCTGGAGCTTTGTGTGCACTGTTCCCTCTGCCTGGAATGCCTTCCTTTCCTACTTTCTCTAAAATTTTCTAATAAAATCCTGAGCATTCTTCATGGCTCAGTTCAAATGCCACCTCTTCCAGGAAGCCTACCAGAGTCATTCCTCTCCCAACATGGAATCCCCTCTGAGAGCCCACACCTCTCTTTCTGCCCCATGGTAGGTGGCACCGGTCACAGATTGCCTAGAATTAAAATATGCACTTCATCTGCCTCAGACGTAGGCTCCTTGTAGGTTCGTTTCTGCCTTGGTCTGTTTGGACCACTGTAACAAAAATACCATAAACTGCAAGGCTTAAACAACATAAATTTATCTTTCACAGTTCTGGAGGCTGAAAAGTCCAAGATCAAGTCCCCTGAAAATTCAGTGTCTGGAGAGAGCCTGTCTCCTGTGTCCTCTCCTGGTGGAAGGCGTGAGGGAGCTCTCCCCAGTCTGTTATCAGGGCACTAATCCCATTCCTGAGGGCTCCACCCTCGTGGCCTAAGCAGGTCCCAAGGCTCCACCTGCAAATATCGTCACGTCGGGATTCAGTTTCAATATGTGAGTCCTGGGGGGACGTGACCAGTCAGTCTATGGCAACCTTCCTCCCGCACCTGGCCCTGAGCTTAGCTCAGAGGAGGGTCCAACTACAGTGCAACTCTTGGATATAAAATTTTGACTTCCTTACAGCAGGGTAAAAATCTTGGCAAAACTCACATTGTCATTTGAGGGAACTTTCACACAATGTATAACATTTGCTTCTCACATCACCTTCTAAGTGTGTGCCATGCGGTTCATACCCACAGCACGGATGAAGGAAACTCAGCTCCTGGAAGTTGACTGCTTATATCAGCAAACTAACAGGCAAGACCTGGAGCTGAAACTCCCAGCCAAGGCTTTTAGGAGACTATCCCTCTGCCTTTTCCACAGCCCTGGTTCAGCCTCTCCCCTCATGGGTCACCGCTGTACCCACCCCCTGGCATGGGCCCAGCCCCAGCAGGAGTGTGAGGAAGGAGTGGGCCTAAAGCTATAGCCTCCCATGGCAGACCTGAGGCTTCCTCCTCCACCCCTTTCTGTGATGGTCCCTGAGGGCAGAGGTGCTGCTGGAGGCCGCCTGTCCATGTTCAAGGGGGGCATCTCTACCCTCTCCTGGAGGACTTGCCCATGGCCTCCAGTCTGCTGTCGTACGGGGGCTGCACATGCCTGGCCTCCTGCTGCCCCACATCTGAGGACAGCAGGCACCCCACACCCGGGGACTCAGGGACAAGAGCTGTAATGCCAGGGGTGGAGGCACCTGCTCTGTCTCACCAGTTCCCAAGCACTGCTGCTTCTCTTTGAAATGTGTGCCTGTACGACATGGGCACTGGGAAGAAAGGAGCTGGGCCAGGGCTCTGCCGAGGCAGCATCTCTCTCTCTCTCCCTCAGGAATCGTCTTCGTCGCCATCCATTGCCAAAATGAATGGAGGCCATGCAGCCAGCTTTATTAAATATGAATGAGTCGCAGCCCACGGCCCCCACACGGTCACTCGCCTACTCCATCTCTGGCAATTACTGCGTCGCACACACTGTGCCAAGGGGCGCAGTGGTCCCTGCCTGCCCTTGCAGACTGACACTGCCCAGCAGGGGCAGGCCTCGGGTCTGCAGCTGCCCTGGCCCTGCTGGAAAGACACCACTGGGCTTCCATGCAGCCAAAAGGCTCAGCTCTCAAGGCATAAGGACAAGGTTCCTCCCTCAGAAGGACTGTGGATTGTCGAGCTCCGAGCTCTGGCCAGAAAGGGCCTGCAGCTTTGGAGCCCAAAGAAAAGGTCTCCAGGCTCCTGAGCTCTGTCTGCATATGTGAGAGGCATGTGGGAGCACCCAGTCTTAAGATCCAGCCTAGGTCAAGGTTAAAAGCATGTGTGCATGCCCGTACTATTCATGAGCACCGATTTGATGTGTGTTAACTTAGACCTCACGAGAAGCCCCTTGATCATAAGCTTCACATTAGCAGGGTCCTTGTTAGCCTCATTCACTGCTGTGTCCTCAGTGCTGGGGCCAAAGTAGATACCTAAGCACTATTTGTTGAATGAATGAATGAGGTGGATGTTACTGACCATTTTAGAGCTAATGAAGTTAAGGTTACAGAACTCAGCCAAGGTTCCCCAGCCAGCCAGTTCATCAGAGTCAGGAGTCAAATCCAGGGTCAGGGCTCAGCCATCGCTCCATTTGGCCAAGCCGGCTAGTCACTCGCCTGGAGCTTCTCCAGGGTAAGACTCTGTCCCTCCCGCCCCTGAGCAGGCCACAGGCCACCCCTCTAGTTGTTCAGATTTGTTTTGACCCCAATTTCATCAGAAGAGCCAATGAAATTCCCCGTAACTCCTTGTGGCTTCCTCAAAGTTGCCAGAGACCATCTATGAAGTGATGATAAAGCGAATGAGCTCGAACTCTTCTTCTGAACTTAAAAAATTACTTTTATTTTAGGAACCAATAAAATTATGGCAAATATTTACAAATAATTATCTCACATTAAGGTCACATAAAATCAATTTTTCACGAAGAACAGTCACTCATGAACAGACATACAGATATCGAAACTACCCAATCTTATTGCAAGTTTTTCCAACTAATCTAAAATAAAAATCTTGCAGTTAACCATTTAACTTAGAATAGAACCACAAATTCCAGGTTTGACCAGAAAATAAAGAGTTAAAAATTTAAACAAAAACCCTACCCATTTTCTCCCAAATCCCACCCCCAGCCCCTGCCCTCTTCCCAACAAAAGAAAAGTATGTCCAACATCTTTGGCAAATTGGCACTGCTGTCATTACATTCAAATATCATTACACACAAAAGCAACACACGTCACTAAGAAAAAAACATCAATATTTCCGTTGTTTTCTACTAGAAAAAAAATACAAAACATACACATTTTTAAGAAGCATTTTGTTTCCAATCTGTTGGAGACAGATCATCTCCCACTTTCAAAGGCAATTTAATTCAGTGGTTTTTTTTTCGTTCTTGTTTTTTTGTACTTTTTTCTTTTTTTTACAAGTAAGTTTCTATGCAGGCATCACAAACTTTGGCGGATACAGTAGATACATATTTCTTTGATGTCTTCCTGGCAAAGAGTTCCATGGCAACGTAGTCTGCATTTCTATAAATACTCAATGTCCAAAGGCCACTAGAGGGTGAAACACCAGGGCAGCATCTTCCAGTAAGAGTCAGGGCGGAACCCTGATCGGATTTCTACCCTCCGCCCGAACTTGGAGGCCCAGCAGCTGGGGCCAAGAAGCTGGGCCCTCAGTATCCACTACCCCTCACGGCGCTGGCAGCTCAGGGCCAGGGGTCGGGCCTGCCTCTTCCTGAGCCCCAGGATGGGCTGCTGCCAGGTCTGCCCACTTTCTCTAACCAAAGGCAGAGGGCAGCAGGCAGGAACTGGCAGGAGACTCAGTGCTTTCTCTGAGTTCCAAGTACGTCTGAGAGGTGAGTGTGCGTGCGTGTGCGCATGCGCACACGCTCACACGCACGAACGGAGGGAACGGCCGGAACGGGAGGCTTGGAGCTTGGCAGGGAGTTTCAAATATACTCGGGAATTATTTATTTTAGTTTTAGTTTTATGGCAATTAATTGGCTATTGATTGGTTGGACTGTTCAACTCTCCATTTCCTCAAGTACAATAAAATAGTTTCATTAAAATGTATTCAGGCTTGAAAATAAGGGAGCCATTAAATGGTTTCCTTTCTGTTCCACTCCAAGGGAAATGCGCCGTGTGTAAATCAAAAATCCATCATCCCAAATCACTTGTTCTTAATGGTGCTTTTGGAGACAATGAGGGACGTGGCCACAAGCATCGCGATTTAGGAAGTTAGGGCAGCCCAGCATCCCCAGTCATGGGACAGAGTGATTGGGTTTGGGGAGACTGCAACGTGGCCTCCTGCAGCCAGGCCGCAGGGTCAGGGAGGGGCACACGACCCCCCTGCCGGTCCCCATGCTTCCCTGCTTGGGCCTTGGTCGGAGCTGCCCCAAACCAAAAGGCGGATTCCTGCCCTCCCTCTCCTGCCTACACTAAACTACTACCCAAGACCCAGTCCACTGTAGAATGCATGCAGACTCCCTCAGTAACATAAATAGCTGCATTTTCTCCTTGAGCTGCTCAGGAGTCTGAGATGTGAGGAGAAAACCCAGACTCACTGAGTGGTGGTGATTCTAGCCCCCAACTTGAGATGGCCCCCTTGGGAGCACATGGCCGGAAACTCTAGAACCCTGCGGTCCCCTTTGATTCGGGGGGGCAGTGGAGGAACAGGACCCCAATGCTGAGAAGTTATAGTGGATGAAAGGAAGGCTGGTGCCTGCCTGCTCCCAGCAAGCAGCCATGTCAGAGAAGCATCGCCCCCTCGTCAGGGCAGCAGGCAAGGGAGTTGCTTCCAGTCCTCTGCCGCGCCCTGGGGACCTGGCCGCCACTCTGGAGGCAGGAGCTGACAGTGGGGAAGTGCAGATCAACACTGTGTCTCCACCATGAATATGTAAGAGGGAATCCTGGGGTACAGGGACAGAAGGGGACAAGGGGCTGAAGGGGCTGCTGGGAGGTGGGGCAGACCGCTGGCTAGGAGTCATGGCCTCACTGTCCAACATCCCAATAATGCATTTTGTTACCTTGGAAGAAAAGCATTTGCCTTGGACTTCTCCCAGGACAAAAGAACTAAAGGAATAAATTCTCCAGGAGCACTGGTGTGAGTGCCTGGAAACCATCTGAGATAGGTTCCCAGATGGGTAACAAGCCCAAGACTACAGAGTTGGCCTCTTAGTAGGGCCACGGGGGAGCTGGTCCAGCTCAGAGTGCAGTGGGACCCACCGGCTCCAGCTTGGGCCTGGCCTACAGGGGCCTGGGTTTCCCTCCGGCCTCGGGGCAGCTGTGCCTCAGACGCATCTCGTTTCCAGGTATTTGCCAGGAGTGCTTGGTTTGGTTAAGATCTGCTCCTCATGGTTAGGAGCTAAAGTCTAGCTGAAATGTCATGCAGAATGGGGTGGCTGGTGCCAGGAGCTGCCAAAAGCAGAACAGTTGCTTTGGGACGTGACTTCTCATGAAGGGATTTCACCCCTCAGTGCCCTGTGGTCACATCTGGGACTCTTCCCTGCACATGTGAAAGGCCCCAGGAGCACTGACCTACCCTCAAAGTCAAGTCCCCTCCCCCCGCCACCTCTGATGATTGACCTCACCTCCTTTCGAGCCCAAACTGTCTACAAGAGCCCAGGATAGGGAGGGAGGAGGACAGGGACCAGGGGCTGGACAACGGTCTGGGTTCCCATCACCCTCACAGTTGTGATGAGGGCAAAGAGGTGAAGCAGCAAGGGGGCATGAGAGAAAGGTTGAGGTCACAAGCTGGTGATCAGTGGCCCATAGGCATATGATTCTTGGTGGACAGAGCATTGTAAAAGCTTTCACACTTGAATGCCATTGGAAGGGGCACACAGCATTTGGGTCTCGGGTCCCACCGCCCATGCTGACTCATATCCCGCCCAAGTTACAGGCTTACTCCACCTGCTTGGCCCAGGAAGCAGTTAGGTCAGGGCCTTGGAGATGGTGATCTGTGTTTCCCAGGACTGTGGGCACCCCGATGGCCCTGATGACTCTGCCTAGGGACTCCTGTGTATTGTCACTGCCAGGCCTGGAGTCTGACCCCCAGCAGAAAGGATAAAGAGTGAGCAGGCATCTCATGACTCTGGAGGCCTTGACCCTTGGAGTCAGAGCCGGGCCCGTGTCCAGGCCCTGGCAGGCCTGTGGGGTGGCCTTGGACAAGCTCCGGTCAGTCCCCTGTGGGCCTCAGGGCACAGCAGGAAGGGGGTCTGGGTGAGTCAGGAGGGCTGCTGTGAGTCTGGGTAAAGGCTTTTTGGGTTGACTTTGGTGTTTATGAGACTCAGGCTGGACCAGCAACACCTCCAACCCCCGGCTCCTCCGTCAGGCCAGCAGCGTCTGGCTCCTTGTTCTTTTTTTGCTCACTGCAGGTCTGGACGGTTTCTCAGGAGTGGCAGTGTGTCTCTAAGCCACACTCTCCCGCAACAGAAGCACAATTCTGTTGAGAGAGAATTGGGCCTGGTGATCTAAGAATTCACTTCACCTCTACTTCGCCCTGTGAGCCCTAAATCTCCTGTCCCAGCTGTAAACAAGCGTTGTGACGGCCCCTGGGGGTGGTCAGATCTGTGAAGCACCATACGAATGCTGAACGTCAGTTAAAGGGGGCTCACCTGAACTAAGGCGCCTTGGGAAGGGGACGCCAGGTTTGATATGTCATCAGAATTCTCCAGGTTGGAGCTAGACTGTGGTACCAAAAAGTTTCATAAAATCTACAATGTCCTTTCCAAAAAGTCAGAGCTAGAACATGGGCCTACAAGCCCATGGAGAAACATCCCAGGCCTCTTGCCACGATGCTGGTGAAAGCCCTGGCCTTGTGTTTTCCATCTAGAATCCTCTGGCATCAACGACTGTGTCCTTTGGAACCCCTCTCTCCAGGCTCCCAGGCAGCCCCACTGGGTGGCGTGGGAACTCTGTGGGTGAGAGCGGTTGTGAGTGTAAGAACATGAGTGTGCATCATGTGCTCTTGTGCTTCTGCTTGGCAGCCAAGAAACCAGTGGCTGTCTAATGAGTACAAATGCAGTCTGAGGACAAGCAGAGCCCCAGAGGAGAGAGGGAAGGTGTGGAGGGAGCTCCCCTCGGTGACGAGGAGGAACAGGATGGGCAGAGGGGTGGGTGCTGGTGGGGCCAGGTGGGCTTTGCCAGGGAAGGACAGTTGTGCCTTAGGCAGCCAGTCCAGGGAAGGCCGACCTCCTATTAACAGCCTGAGACCACAGGAGGGATTAGGATCCAAGGATACAAGAGGTTGAGAGGTCTGTGCAGCAGACCCCTGACCCTTCCGTTTCCTTCAGAAGGGAGGCGGGGGGCGGGGCAGCTCCCCTACTTCCTTCTATCTTGCTTGGCAGGTGGAGGCTGGAACTGTTTCATCCAGCAGGTTCCATGACAGTGGTGTGCCTGCAGTAAGCTCATGGGCTCCACCTCCACCCTGGGACACTGGGCTCTCTCCGCAGTTCTAACAGCCCTAGGCCACCCCATCTGGGGCAGTAGGCTGAGAACTATCTCCTGTTGCCCTCACCATCGACTTCCCTCCCCAGGGATGGGAGGATCGCCACATGCCCGGGGTCACGGGCCAAGTCCCAGCCCCACCTCTGCCACTCACTGCCTGGGGACTCCACTTTGCTGAGCCTCAGTTTCCTCTCTGTCCCACCACCTTGCAGGCGTGCTGGGGAGGAAGCACTTGGCAGTGGCCAGAGGAGGTTTTCTCTCTCTCCTGGCGTGGTCCTGGGCTTCCTCCAGCTGGGCCTCAGTTTCCCTTGAGGGGAGCTGGACCAGGTCCTTCCTCAAGACTGATTTCCATGCCTCTGGGTGTTCTTGTTTCCCACTTGGTCTGAATATTAGCGGGACTCAGGTGTTCACCTGCATATACTTGCTCAGTGTGGAGGGACTGCCCAGCTCCCCGAGGGACTGCTCAGTGCAGAGGGAGGAAGGGGAGAGTTGTTGGAGGGCCCTGCCCCGAGGCTCAGAGAGGGGAGAAGTCTTGTCTGAGGTCCCATGGCAAGGCAGAGGTGCAGCCAGGATGAGCCCTCGCAGGGCCAATAACCTCAGGTGCAGACTTTCTCTGCCCCAGCTCTCTGCCAGCCTGGTGACATGCAGACATCGGGGATATTGTCCCATGAAATGCAAAGCCCACTGTCACTGCTATAATTCAGCCCAGATTTAGACAGAGCCTCCACCTGGCTGTTCTGAGTTGGCAAGAGAGACTATGCAAGGGATTGAGGCCCTAGGCAAAGAGCTGGTGGTTCCTGGCACCCTTATGTCAAAACCATTCCCAGTTCACCTGCCAGTTCCTCACTGCCCGCCCTGTCCCTCTCCCAGGAGGTCTTCCTCTGTACCCTCCCAGCTGGCTGTTTTCTGACTGCTCCCACCCACTGTGAGTCCTAGAACTCTGCCTCCAACTTCTTATGGTCCTTGGCCCTGGCCCTGACCATTATGGCCCCTTGTAGCAACAGGTAGATACCCACTATTCGAAGGTCGGTATCTGCCCCCACCCCGGCTCCTCCAGTCCCAGTGGCAGGTTGGGCTCCTCGAGGGTGGGGAAGGGCTGCTCAGGAAGTTGGAGTGGACTGCTGCAGGTGTGTGTGTCTCCGGTGCAGGCAGAGCCCTTTTTGCTCATCGCTGTCTACATGGCAGAACAGGCTTGCCCAGAACCCACTTGCTGGGGTCCTGGAGGGTGGAGGCAGTGTCTGTGGTGGGTGTCCAAAGGGATCAGAGCCAGGGGGTGCCTCAGAAAGCACATGTCAGTTCAGGCGGGCGGTTCCAAGGACTGGGGGGTCAGGAGGGCCTCAGACCCCACCTTGGACCGTGATCTCCTGGGTCCCATCCAGCCCCAACCTTCCAAGTCCACAATGCAATCAGCACCTGGGGCATCATCTTCCTTTAGAGCCATAGTTGAGGGATCTCCCAGACGGTTCTTTGAGTTGTTTGATATATGGAAAAGGGCTGTTCGCACTGCATGGGAGTGGGAACATGCAGTGCGCAATGGAGCAGGAAGCCAGGGTACTTCCCCAAAGTGTGTTTCTCCTGGGGAGGAGTCTCAGCTGGGTGTGGGGAGGGGCTTGGAGCACACCAGTCCGTGAGAGTCCCAGTCCAGACGTTAAAGAAGTAGCAGAGAGCGGGAGGCTAAGGCCCCGAGCTGGGCATCCTCAGTGCCATGGACAGCTCTGGGCCCACCCTACAGGGGCACCCAGGGCAGAGGGGGTGCTCTGCACACAGTTGTAAGACCTCCTGTGACGCATTGGGAGTGCTGAATGCATAGCAGTGGGCAGTCTGCTCAGCTGGACCCTCAGGCCCGGATAAAAAGCAAGAAGGTATTTACACAGGTGCTGTTGAAATGACAAAAGCGAGGTCTCCGTCCCAGGCCTGGGGCAGGAAGACGGCAGATAGTCAGGCAGCTGGGGCACGGGCAGGCTGGCTGGGCTGCAGTGATGTGCAGAACAGTCTGTTGGTTGGTGAGACCTCATCACTGTTGGGAGAAGCTCAGCAATTGACTCTTGGAAACGGACAGGTGTCTAGAAGTCCGGCACCCATACCATCGAACCCCAAGTCCCTGGCAGGAAAAGGGAGGCAGAATTTCAGGACAGTGGGAGCTTGCTGGGGGGTGGTCTCCTTGAGCCCCTCTGGCTGTCTTTGGAGGGGGCTGGGAGGCTATCGCCCTCGGTGATGTGTGTCATAAGTGCTTGGCGTCTGCCTGGCTCCGAGGGTCAGTGACGGTCATAGGCAGCGGCAGCTGCCGGTGGGGCAGTTCCTCGGGCAGCAGCGCTGTAATAGTATGGGGAGCCTGGAAGAGAGAGGAGAGGGCGTGGGGGTTGGAGGGCGACCGTGGGCCTGCAGCCCCACACCTGAGGCCCATGTTCAGAGGACGGAAGGGGATCCGAGCTCTGAGAAAAGAGCTCTGGGGAACGCAAGATTATCCTGTCAGGCTCAGGCTTCCTGGAGGAAGCGGGTCAGGCTGGGCTTGGAGGACGAGAAGAGTTGGACATGGGGAGACGGCCTGCCTCCTGTGACCCAGACAGGGCAGGGGCCTGTACCCTCCATTGTCTCTGGGCGGTGGTACTGGACTGCATGCTTTGGATGAGGCCTCCAGGAGCCGCACTCTGCATTCACCCTCCCAGGGGAGGAAGTGGCACAAGGGGCCCCAGGAGACCACCAAGGTCAGGGACCTGAGGTTGTCTCTTCCTTCTCCAGGTGGGGAAACTGTGGCTCAACAAACCAAAGCCACAGCGCCTCTCAGTCCCTGGGCCGGGCCTGGAGTTCCGGTTGTCGTCCCTGGCTCAGTTCACGGCTGTGTCCCCTGTGCTGGACTGTGTTTAGCCAAGTGGACAGCAGCTGGGGCCGTGGGAGCCCTCCTAGACCATGCTGGGGTGGGATGAGCAAGCTTCTTAATTTCCCAGGGGAGGTGACATGTATTGATTCTGAAATCTCACCCAAATCCAAACCAATCCTGGCAATTCTCCCGGATATCATAACGGGCACTAGCGCCTGGGGGTTGCCAGCCAGGCTCTGTCACGCGTGGCCGAGTGCCCCAGAACTCCACTCCTCAGGGAGGCTCCGCTCCCCTGAGCCTCAGCTGTCTGGTCTGTAAAAGGAGGTTGCAGCGGTGCTGTAAGAAGCACCACGGGGTGAGGACACGAACGTGTTTTTGTAAGCACTTTGTATCCATGAACTCTTTTAATTTCCACAATTCTATCAGGTAGAAATAGTATTGTCCCCATTTAGCAGTGGAGGAAACTGAGGCAGAGAGTTAAGTCCACACCCAAGGCTCAGATAGCACCGGCCACCACCCCCAAACCCAGCCCTGATGGGTAGATACACTGCTTCCTCCCCCGGCCCCCAGGCCCCCACGAAGGCAGGTGGCTCGGGCAGCAGTGACTGGGGGGAGGAGCAGGCAGGGCCTTGCTGTGCTATTCCTGAAGGTGCGACCACCAATCCCGTGCCTAGGTGTTCCCAGAGATGAAGTAATTTGCTGCTTCCTCTGTCACCTCCCTGGCCAAAGCCGTGACTCAGAGACATGTCAACCTCTTCTGCTCTCTCTTCTGTGCCAAGGGGACAGTGTTAGGACACATGTGTCGTCCCTGCAAGCCTGGGTGCAGCCAAGGAGCAGGGCTGCCCCACAAACAGGCCTTGGGAACAGGAAATGGGAGTGAGCCTGCTCAGAGGACCCTGCCTCACCCCCTGAGCCCCCTGAGCCCCCTGCCCCGCCACCTCCCACCTCTGCTAATACTCACTCTGCTCTCAGTGCCTAACCTCTCGGCCAGGCTGCCTGGGACCCAGCACGAGGTTCTGTGGCAAAATCAAAAATGCCTGCATTTACCGTGAGGAATGAAAACACCATTTCACAAAGCACTCTGTCTTCCTGGTGCCCATTAGACCTTCATCTAGAATAAACTGTCCTTTCTTCTGTCATTTTTCCTCTCTAATTCACATTATCATCAATTTACTCCTGACACAGTCATTCCGGGCTCCCACTCACTGTAATCCCTTTACAGCGGCGGAAGACACTCTCTTTCTAATCCTAACTGACCGCTGCTGCCCTTCTTCCCGCCTCCTGCCTGCCCCCACCCCCCCTGGCCTGGCCTGGCTAGAGGCCCCCAGTTGCTGGGTCACGCTGCCCTGGCTGGGCAGGTTCAGTGGGGAGGGGAGTTCTCCTGGGACGTGAGTGTGTGACTTCATTAGGTGGCATGGCTCACCCTTACTTTGGTGGCATGTCTGTGAAGGAGGCTTCACCCAGGCCCGCCCAGGGGCGGGCAGTGTATATGAGGTCATGAACCCCTGGGAGTGCATGTGGAGGGTCTCGCCAGCTTCCGCGTCACCCACTGATCTAGCAGGAGCACCAAGGAGCCTCAGAGTGGGCTCCCGCACCCTGGCGCCCTCCCCAGACAGTAGAAATCAGTCCACTCCCCCTGCTCCGTTGGACCCTTCCAGATAAAGCCCGAAGACACTCTGTAATAAAGGCAGGCTGGTAGATGTCAACAGCCTGGGACTTATTTGCAAGACCGTGGGAGAGGGAGCCTGGGACCTCACTCATCTTCGGGAAAGTGGGCCTCCAGGGAGCATCGTGTGCAGCTGCTGCTTAAATGAAGCCGCCGGTGCTGATGGTCCTCATTTCACACCTGAGGCCCAGCCTGGCTGATGACCTGGCCATGGTTCCCCAGGTCATCGACTCAGGCAGCACAGGGGCCGTGTCTCACATCTGTAGCTGCCCAGCGTCATTTAAGCCTTTTCTGTTTTCCTGATGCACGAGGCCCACCTCTCAGAGCTTCAGGTCAGAACTCATTCTCCCAGCTTCCCTTGCTGCTAGGGCACAGATGTGTCATCTGGGCGCTGCCAGGTAGACCTTGGTTAGGAAGGGAGCGACTTGAGATGGGCTGAGACCCCATCTGCTGGGCACGGGTGGCAGAGGCATCCAGCTCTGGGCAGCGGCCGGGCGGAGCTCTTGGGCACCTCGGCAACAGAGTGGGTTACTTGGGGGTGCCAGCTGGCAATAGCCAGTGGGTTTACATTGGTGGTGTAGCTGGGTGCTGTTTCTGGCTGTGGGTCCCACGCCTGTCTCTGGGGTCCTCCCGGAGATTCTGGGAGCCCCCAGTATCCCTTAATAGACTTGTTTTCTACTTAAACCAGCCAAAGTGTATTGTAGTATTTGCAGCTGAAAGCCTGATAGATGAATACAGTCACCTGGCTTTGAACAACAGACCAGAGCTGCTCTCATCCCATACACGGTCTGAGCATTTAGAATTCTCAAGGCTTCCTCCTGTGGAGGGGGGAGGCTTCCTGGCTGTGGTGCTGTTCTGACTGGGTCGGTCAGGGAAAGTGAGAGTCCCACGTCACACACTGGTTATGAATACAGAGCCTGTATGAATACAGGCTCTGGAGTCAAGGCAACCTGAGTTTGGGTCTTCATTCTGCCATCTACCTGCCGTGTGATCTCAGGTAAGTTACCTAACTGTTCTGAGTCTCACTTTCTTCTTCTGTAGAAGAGCGATAATAGTACGTGCTGTTGAATGGATAAAGTGAGCTAAGCCATAGGAAGGGTTTTGCCCAGTGCCTGCACCACTGGCCAAGTACTTTTTTGGATAAACGGAGTTCTGATTCTTTTTCTTCCTCTCCACGCCAGCTCTGGCCCCTCGAGGCTCTGGCCCCTCCCAGCACAGACACTTGCGCAGGGCTCCCTCACCTGAAGCCCGGGAGCTCCCTGGGGCAGAGTCCACATCTTCACACCAGGCGCAAAGCCCATGCTTAGTAACGGGATGTGAACTGGATTTCACTCCAGCTTGAGCGGCAAAGATCTCAGATACGGTGTAGTCCCACCTTCTCTTCACCATCCCTTTGGGCTCCTAGCTGCCCACACAATCGGTTCAAACTTCTCAGTCTCGGGGCACCCCATCCGTGGCCCCACAGACCACCCTCCATCTACTCCAGCCCTTCGCCACTCCTCTGCCTCTTGGACCCCCCCAGGCAAATGAGCCTATGGGGTGCCTCATGAGAACTAGAAGAAGGTGTCCCCTCTGGGCAGCGGTGGGCCTTGTGCCAGGATTTGGGGCTTTGTGTCGTGCACGGGCTTGATTTCAGCCCCTACTTGTCCCCTTGGGCAGGACATAGCCATATATAAAGGTCCTAGGTCAACGTGACCTTCTTGGGGTCATACCCCATCACCAGAAGCCTCTCCCACAGTCTGGCCCAGGCCTCTTTCTCACCACATCCCCTGTGGGTCTCACAACAGCTCTGGGACAGGACTCTGTCTGAGGCTGCTTTGCAGGGAGGTGCTCCCAAGCTCAGGTCTCCAGACCTACCGCCACCCTCACCTCTGCTGAGAGACTGGACCGGGGAGGTCATGGCCAGCCTTTACCTCCTGAGACTGATGGCTGGGCCACCTCAAAGCTCAGGGCCTCCTGGCAAAGGGTTTAAGGTAAAGCATTAAGTAAGTGGTTCAATACTTAGGAGTAATTTTTACTAAAACCCAAAAGGAAGTCTGAGAGGTTAGCCCGAAGATTCAGCCTCTCCGGGAGGCCACTAGTAAATAGTAGGAGCCTAGCTGCCTATAAAATTGGAGATCTCTAGGCACAGGGGCCTGCAGCACTAATTGGCATTGTTCCTTTTTTCACCTGCAATGGTGCAAAATGCACCAAAATGCTTTGGGCAGCCCAAGGCCCAAGTGCATGGAAGGCAAATGATGGTGTGCATGCCATGTGTCTGTCTTAAGCAGCCCTGTTAAGCTGGACAGACAAACCTGAATGGTCTCAGAGGCAAGTCCTCATCTGGCCTTTGAGGAAAATTCCCAGCTGACTGCTGAGGGAGGGGCCAGTGCTCTGCCTCCAGGCCAATTGGCTGGCTCTGCCCCCAGGAGGTGAGTGACATTTATGATGCCTGGGCTCCTGCTTCAGGCTGCAGAACCTTCAGCTCCAGCTGGCACCCTGGTTTTATGTAAGTTCATTTCAACAAGACAATAGGCCTTTTGAGGATTGAGCAGCCCTGCTGGGTCTCTGGGATGGCCCAGGTATCTAGGTAAAGTTCACAGGTCAGGCTGGCCCCAGCCTTGAACAACCTGCCAGTCTGAGGCCTGGCCAGAGGTTAGGCACCAGCTGAGTTTACAATGGCATGCCTTGGCAGGTCTTTAGCCACAAAGTAACCCATTTCCCATGGAGCTGGCTATGGCAATGACCACAGCAGACATCACTAATCAATCCCTGCTCCTCATCAAGTCCTAATCAAGCCAGGTAGCCACTATCAATCAATCTGAATTGGCCTCTTTGTTGTCTCTTATTTAGAAAATTCTCATCTGAATAGTCAGTGACCTTAAGAACTATAAGTTACTTTGGGGTAGGCACTTTCCCTGCTTTCTTCTTTCTGCCTCAATGCCCCTTTTGTCTTTGTTCCTGTTTTGTGCCACTTTCCTGTATCCACCAAAACATCTTTTGGGGGGGCGATTGGGAACCAGGGCCCCAGCAGGCCCAGAGTGGCGTTCACTGTCCTAAGGCCCTGGCACATCCCCCAGATTGCACGTTTCTGGGAAAGCGACCCACCCCACCTCAGCGATCGGGCCTCGGCATGTTGAGGGACCTTGGCCCACCTAGGGGATTCAGTGGGGCAGCCGATGGCCCAGGGCCCTCGCAGGGCCTCTGCCAGTACTCACCGAGCAGCCCCGGGTTGGGGAACCTCCAGGAGTCGTTGTAGGAGGGATACTGAGGGTGGCTGTAGGGGCTCCCAGAAAACTCACTCCCTGCATGTGGTGGGTGGGAGAGAAACAGGAACCAAATGTCAAAGCAAGTTCAGAAAATGCCAGTGGCATTCGTCTCTGACACAAATTGCAGGTACTTTTGTAACCAATAAAGGCAGGTCCAGTACACACCCTTAGGAAGTGGACAGCTGTCACTGGCATTGTCTAGATTGCCCCTATGACTCTTCCCTGTCAGTGGAAGTGAACACCAGCCTCTCACCTGTGTACCAGGAAACACCACGTGCTGGGCGTTCCCTGGGGCTATTGGCCCATTTTGCAGGTGAGGAGACAGGGGCGCAGGTCCTCTCACAAACCGCCTCAATATGCCCACCCAAGTCCACAGCCCCAGACCGCCTGGTTCTCAGCTCTCCCTGGGGCCGCTCCAGGACCCCATGTCCCACAGGTTGCCTGTGTGGCTCTGGACTGAAAGCCAAAGATAACCTTAGCTCTAGTCTGGCCTTCTGTGCGGAGAATCTGGAGGTGGCTGCTCCCAAGGCCTCAGCCAATGGAGAAGATGAGACGTAAAGTCAGGCCCTCTGCCAAAAGCAGGCAGACAGCACTTTGCTGAGATGAAGAGACGAACTGAAAGTCTAGTAGAGCACAGCAGAGGGAGTGGGGGCGCTGGGCACTGGGGAAGGGACTTTTAGCTGCTAGTGGCTCTGGACATGCTCAGACGGGAACTGCAGCTGCCCCAGGGTAGGGACAGTGTGGGGTGTGTGGTAGGAAGTGGCGGGACTTGAGGATGGCTCCCTCTTGCCCAGCCGCTCACAACACAGTGATGCTCTCCCTTCCAGCCCCCGGAGAGCCTCTTTACCACCGGCCAGTCACAGGAGGGGAGTTCAAAATTCCTTTCCTTATGACCTTGCTGCCTGTCTCCTCCCTGTGCCCCCCCCCCACTCCGGGAAGCAGAGTTTGAGCACGACTCAGTGCAGAGTCCCCCAGTGCCTGGCCCAGGTTGTGTCGGAAGCTGGCTACAGAGTGGCTTTTGAAGCCACCGGTTGCAGAGCTGTGGGCCCCTCCTTGGCAATGATGGCAGGAGTTACACTGCCCGTGGGACCACCCTCAGTCTAAACAAGCTTCCACGAATTCTTTTTAAGGATGCCAAATGCCCAAAGGGCAGGAGCTCCCAGGAGGGACCAGCCAGATGTCAGAATGGGAGCACCACTCTTCCCCTGCCAGCCTAGACCCAAACGGAGGGCCTGCAGGACTTAGCCAGGTGTGGCTGGAACAATAAAGCAGGCCTGAGGGGCCAGCTGCTCCTACCCCTGGGCCCAGCCGGCCTCCTTTCCACCTCCCCACTTGCACAGGCAGAGCGTGCGCGCGCACACACATCCACACGTGCACTCCTCCCCAGACCTCTCTGGGGGCCACTCCCAGCCTGACAGGCTGAGCCTTCCAATTCTCTGTTTTTTATGCCTCAGTGGTCAGGGTGTCAGGTTCCAGCATCAGAGGGAGAGTGTGGTGACAGTGCGGGCTGCATGCAGCAGCCCAGCCCCGCATATCCATCAGAGCCAGGCACCTCCTCCTCCTCCTGCTCCTCCTGCTCCTCCTCCTCCTCCTCCTGCTCCTCCTCCTCAGGAGCAGGGTGGGGGAGCAGAGAGACAGAGCAGCCTGGAGAAGGGGAACAACCGCCCTCTCATCCAGGCCCCAGGCCGGCACCCGGGAAGCTGCCCCATCAGAGGCACTTCCTGACAAGCGCTGCACCTGGGCCCAGGGTGCGAGCTGCACTGGCCGAGGCCATCTCTCCATCTTCATCTGACGGGTTCTGTCTGCTGGGCCAGGCTCTAAGCCCACCTCTTCTAGGAAGCCTCCCTGATCTCCAGCCCCTAGAAGGGCATCTTGGGTCCCTTTAGCTAAAGTTAATTAGTTAATTATATCTGTGCTATCCATCCCACATCCCCGTCTTGTCCCAAAATTGGCAAAGAGCCCTAAATGGCTCCAACTCCAACTCCTGTAGAAGATGGACCCAAGTCAGTGCTGTGCACCATCCTCCACCTGCTTCCCACCTGCCTGGCTTCAGCAGCTACTCAGACGCCTCTTCCTCGGAGAAGGCCCCACCCGCCCTGCCTCTGATGCTCTCGGTCTCCCACAGCACTGGCTTCGCCCTGAGTGCTCAGGAGCCCCCATGACCTGGAGTGTCTGCCCTGCAGGTCAGAGTCTGACTCCTCCCTGTGCCCGTGCGCTGCCCGCCCCCAGCGCACGGCGGACAGCTGGCCTTGGTAAAGCACCGGGGGCTTCCCACACTGCGCTTTTGCACAGATGCTCCCCCGGGCCTCCCCCTCGCCTCCTTCTAGGCTTTGCTCCGACACTGTCTTCCCCGTGAGGCCTCCCCAGACCATTGCATTTCAAATGGAATCTCCTTCCCCCACCCCTCTTTCCTGATTTGTTTTTCTCCATAGAACTGGCCAATGCAACATATCTTGTTGATTGTGCTTAAATAAATTTCAGTGCCTGCTAGATGCCAGGCCCTGGGCTAGATGGGCATTGGGATAGAAATGTTAACTCAACAGACAAAACTCCCTGCCTCCATGGAGGGAACTAACATCCTTAAAAAGGAGGCAGAATTAACAAGATAAGCACATGGCCCACCCAGAGCCTCTGTCTCCCATTTGTAAAAGGGCAGATAAGACCGAAAGTGTCTAAAGCCCTTCTTGTCTGCTGAGCCTGATTTTCACTTCCCAGGGGCCTCTCGGGGAGGGAGGTCCCCTCCTTGGGGCTCGGTGGGCTCCTGATGCGGGCTCTCCTTGGGTCTGGAGGATCCAATCTGCTGCTCCATTTCCTTGGCTGAACTCACCACGATTGTGACACCCAAGGAGCAGTCAAACCCCATGACAGCAGCTTAGAAAAGTGAGTCTTGTCCAGTTAAGAGAAGGTCCAGGGAAAGCCCTGGGAACACTTGCTGGAGTGGGGAGAGTGTGAGCCAAGACTGACGGGGTGTTGATAAGCAGAGGGAGGGAAGGCGTCCCAGGCACAGCAAAGGTCTGGGGGTGGACTGGTCAGAGCACGACCTTTATCTACATGGACAAGTCTCGATGAGGCCCCAGCAGAGACCAGCCACTGGGCAGATACAGGAACATTCTGCTTTGCTCCATTAGGGTCAGGACCAGGGACACCTTCAGACTAGGGAGCGCCAGAATCTGGAGGACAGGCCAGAGGCAGCGACCCTATGGTCAGGTCAGGGGATCAGCCTGGGGGCTGCTGCCCTGGTCCAAGTGAGAGGGAACCCGAGCCCAGGAGATGGCATAGCTGCAATGTCCAAAGACACCAGATGATAATCCTCAAGTCCAGCAGCGGTATTGTCAGGGCAGAAAAGGAAAGTCTCCTCTTTGGCTCATTGTTGGGGCCTCTAGAGGTGCAGCCAGCTGACCAAAAAGATCACACAGTAAACACCTTCTCTGTGACCTTCTAGCACAAAGGACACCATGGTCTCTTCCCCTCTTTCCACTAAGTCACTTGTGTTGGGGACTACAGCCCCCCTCTCCCCCGCCTCCCGTACATTTAGTAAAGCCGGCTATATGCTCGAACTCCTTGTACAACTGACTTGGTGTTTTCTCCCCACGTGGAACTCGAGGGGCATGGCTAAGTGCTGTGTTTGGGTGATCAGCGGGGCAAGGTGAAAGAACACGGTCCAAGAGCGGTGCAGATCAGAGGCTGAGAACTCAGCGATGTCTGCAGCCTGAGACAGAGGTGAGTGAGCAAAAGCGAGCCTCCCTGGCGAGTCCTAGAAATCTCCTGGGGGGACATGGGGCTCTTTGATGAGGTGAGGCATGAGGGTTTGCGTCAAGCTTGTCTTGATGTCAAGGCGCCAGAGGCCAGCCAGCCGTTGTTGGTGTTCTTTGCCCCGGGGCAAAGGAGTGGTGGGGCCGGAGGGGGCAACTGCATGCGTAAAAGCAGGGAGGTGGGACTAGACAGATGGTACACGACGGAACTCGGGATGCTCGGGACTGACGCCCCCTCTTCGGCTGCCACCTACAGGACCAAGAACAGAGGACTGGGCCCCTTTCAGGCTCATGGCCCACAGGTGTGCCCTGCCACCCTCTACTCCTGCCCAGAGCCACCCACCCTGAAGGGGGTGACAGAAAATGGCTCCAGACTAAGAACACCAACAGTGGCTGGCTTCTCCTGGCATCCTGACGCCAACTAGCTTGGCTCAAACCCTCATTCCCCACCCCCTGGAAGAGTCCCATGTCCTCCCCAAGATTTCTGCCACGTTTCCAGGGAGGCTCACGTTTGCATCTACAGCCTGGGTGGCCTGGGCCCTCAGTTTCCTCATCCGTAAGATACAGGGATGGAGAGTCCCTACTGCTTAAGCTAGCAGAGAAGATGAAATGAATTCATAGTTACAGAAGACCTTTGCCCATCCCTGCGTGGTGAGGGTTTGGCGTCTTCTCTTCGTGGATGGTGGGCGAAATCAGCTCAGCCATTCCCCCCGAGCCCTCTGACCCAGCCCCAGCTCCTCCCTGCCAGGCTGCTGGGGAGGGGGGACGGGGAGACCAACTGAGGGGCAGAAAGAAACACAGAGCCACAGAAATGCCAGAACAGGAAGGCAGCGAGGGTTTGACGGACAGAGAAACTGAAGCTCAGGAAAGAGAAGGGATTTGGCAGAGGCTGGGCACACGGGGTCCCCTGAGGTCAGGAAGGCAGAAAAGAAGGGCTGCTCGGGAACTGTCTCTATTTGGCCTCTTGGAAGAATAAAAAAAGAGGGTGAGACTAGAGGAGATGAAGAGCGCTCTCCAGGAGCGCGGCGCCCCATCTCGCTACGCCCCATGGAAGGCGAGGGAGGGAGCCGACGCTGCTGGGGCTCAGGGCCCAAGGGGCTCGGCTTCTCGCTGGGCATCCAAGGAGTGGCAACCACCCCCTCAGTCCCACCCAACCCCACGCAACATGCTCCTTCCCGGAACTGGTGGGCCCACTGCCCTCCACACGTAGAGTTGCCTTACACTGAACCTCACCAACGTCTGCTATTACTCATGGTCCCAGATTATTAGGACTGGGACAAACGG